TTTTTCACTATCAAAATATTAATAACTGTTGATTATAATTTGTTTTTTTATTTTCGCCTGTTATTAAACACGATTTATTTTTAAGTTATAAAAAAAATATGATGTGAAACAAATATAAAGTAATAAAGTTTTTGAACATTATTCATTATTTTCATACGTTTATAACCACTATACAGTATATACATACGCCTTGTATTCAAAAAAAAAAAATTTCTTTAGATTTTATCACTAATGGTTATAGAAGGCCGGTACTTTCAACTTTTCATCATCTCTACCAATCAAGTTAAAAAAAAAAAAAAAAAAATTAAAATTGATAGTATTTTATTATACTGACCAGCTATAATAAAAATTTGTTCATCGAGTATAAATACTATAAAATATATACAATTAAAGTGTCTTCTCTAACATCAGAATATGAGAATTTAATCTAGGTGATTTTTTTGTTTGTTTTGAAAATATATATTAGTGGAACTTATTATTAGTAATAAATTAATATTAAACTACCATCTAAATTATAATAATAGATTTGTGTATGCGGGCGTATGATGTTCTCATAGAGTCTTACGCATTTATACATGTGTCATAAACTCATAACTGATAAATTATAAAATACCATAAAATTAATACATTCATATTATGCTCATAAAAAAATTAAAATTATTAATTATTAATTAGGCACTGTTTTAAATTTTTAAAAATGAATCGCAAAAATCATTAATAATAGATTTTTATATTATATTTTTAAAGTAAAATTAATAATTAATGTATTAATTCTTTAAGCTCGTCTATGTATGATTAAAAAAAAAAAAAAATCTCACCTAGATTGTACTATGAAGAGGTTATTTCAAAATAATTTGAGTGTAAAAAATAAATTACAGATATTATTAGTTTTTGAATAATTTAAATTTTCAACCATGCTTTTTTGTTGAATTGTGTTCTTAGTTCCTTAAATCTTAAATTGAAATATATAATTATTTTTTACCAAAATTGCAACACAATTATTATTTCCATATATTTAATAGATTTAAAAATTAATTGTATAGTTAAAGGCACGTATTTAACGTAAAGAAATTCTATATATATTTTCATATGAACAGTGTTCACTTAAAATTTTTAAAATATTCTATAAAATAAATTAGAGATGAAAAAAATTAAATATTTTTTAATATTTTAAATACTCACTCTATTAGAATTTATTAAAAAGTAAAAGCTTTGAATAATCTATATTATAATTTATAATTTTTGTTATAGATTTAAGTTCAAAAAATATAGTAAACTTTTTAGGTATTGAAACCTCTTAAAAGTATGACATACGTAACATTGACATATCTTATTAATATATATTTAGGTATAGATACTCAATGACTTAATGATAAGGTTTGACAGCTTAAAAACGATTTTTATTGTGTCTAAAATTAAGTCACTTCTAATTTTATATAATCAAAGGTATAATTAAGATAATTACATGAATATAAATTTAGTTTTAAAAATAAACATTATTTATACATCAATTATGAGTTAGCAAAATAATTTGCGTGCGATAAACTCATAAAATAATTATAGTCCTTTTACTTCAAAGTTTTCTAATTAAATTTTATTGAGCAGTTTATATGTTTTAAATGCTAAAAGCATATGTTTTGAAAACTTTTTGAATATGAATAATAGAATTCTAAGAATATAATTTATACCTACTATGTTAAAAATGTTTAGATGAGTATCTGGAATTATACTGTAATAGTAATTATGCAAAGTTCTTGAGACGTTCTAAAAATTGCTAATGAATTATAGAGATTTGTTGTATGAGTCAAAATGTGTAAGCAAAACATTAATATTTAATTTAGCAAAATCAAATAAATACTAATTACTGTGGTATAGTCAACATTAATAAAACCAATATAAATATATATTATTATAAATCAAATACCAGTTATTATATATTTATGATTAAAGACAATTTCATGATGTAAGTTACTTTTTTTATTGTTTAGAATGTATTGTTCTTTTACATTTGGACACTATGGTGTAATTTTATGCAAAATATATTTTTTAAATTTTATTTTAAGGATTTTTTTCTAATTTGCATATCTTGATTATTAAAAATTTATTTACTATGATACCAATTAAAATTGTTTTATAGTAAAATACAATTAATGTAAGTGGTAAATTTCATAATGTGTCTTAAGTTATTAATGTTATGTAAATATTGTTATGAAACAAGTGGAATACTTGCAACTTATTTCTATTATACTTATCATTATAATTTTTAATATTATATAACAATTTCTTTATTATACCTATATTTATAAAAGTATTAAAATGCAATGTAAGTTTAAATTTAAATAAATACATTTTAATAGGACTATATGTTCGTTGTAGTGTGACGTAATATTTTTTTTTCGCGGTAACTGATTAGAGTATAATAATCAATTTAAAAATTGGAAAATATACAAGAAGTATTATTGTAAGTTCAGTCTTTCTGCATGCCCGTAGATATATGATAATTGCGACGAGATGTGGCCGTTTCATTAACTTTACTCGACCATTGTATTATAAATTTAGATGTCAGGGATCAAAGGTCTCCAAGGTCTTATTCGTTCAACCGGAGCTTATATTCTATTAACGTCGCTGCAATGTACGATGGTTTCCGAACCGTAGACTTTTTCTTGTTTACCACACATTCCGCCATTGCTTTAATGAATGTCCTATTTGCGCAATGCCCGAACACCAATCGATAGTGCCTTCTAATAAGTAATAACTAATAATTCATAAATATACTTACCTTTTTATATCTGCGAACACGTTGTACATAAAATTGCAGCGTTTTTCGAGATGTTTTAACGAGTGATGTTATATGCACAGCTGGTTAATATTATCATACGATATTTGTACGTATTTATAAATACTATAATATTGAGTAGGTACTCTAAACGGCGACTACCTATAATTTCTGTGTTTACTGTACGTATATAATATACCGTAGTAACTTAATAGTTTGAAATCACAACTGAATAATATGACTCAATCGTTCGCATGCCTAAAAATGTGACAAACCGTTAACATTGATACGACGTCTTGCGTTTGTTTATCGTAAAGTTAAAGTATACATGTATGAGTTGCAATGAGTATATATTGTTACAGTCACCGGTCATGAACTGTGTGTGTTATTCAATATGGTGGGTTCCAGACTCACGTCTTCATAAAAATATTATAATACTAGTATTATACTCTCCTCGCATTACATGTGATTCTTAAACGATGACCAAACAGAACTACGACAATTGACAACTACATAAATCACCACAGCGCCACCACTGACAACGATTCGACGTGCCACATTTAACGTCCAAATACTGCACATTAGGAGGTATACTCCGTATCGAGCATAATGTATACCGATATACAATGTCATATTCTCATATTTAACTATACCTATAAATAATTGTTATTATGTTATTAAAATAAACAATACTATAGCGAGTATTAGTTTATGTAAAAAAAAGTGTGTGCAGAGAAAAATAAATAAAAAAATCATTTTTTTAGTTAACAATTTTACAGACATTTATTTTTTTAAATATTGTACACATAAAATATAAAAAGAAGAAAAATACATGTCAGTCAAAGAAGACAAAACATTAGACACTTAAAATGTAATATAATAAATATTATAACATCTATTTTTAATTTTTAATTTTTTATACAATTAATTAAAGTAAAATAATAATATACACTTATACATTAACATCAAACTTCACAAACTAGATAGAAAAATCTTTTAATTTATAATAACAACGATATAATGTAGTAACGGTTTTTTAGAATATATATATTTATAATATATATGTATAATGTATATAACAAATGTTTGGCAGCTCAAAAATGGAATAATTTTGCCTGCCATGTGCTTTTAATGTATCAATTGTAGACAAATTTACTGTAATATAGATTGTCAAATAATTTTAAGTAATACATAATTTTTTTAGGAATACGTATCTATGAATGAGCATGGAAAAAGTCATAGTTAAGTTTACGTTCTGTTCAAAAAAAAAAAAAAAAGAATAAAAATAAGGGTTCTTCTCAATATCTAAAACTCTTGCTAATTTATTGGATATTTTACTACATCGGTGTGTATTATCATAGCGCAGACAAATCTAATGATACTCTCTAAATGTATTATCTTTATTAGCTATTGTCAGTTATATATCATCTTACTTGTGATAATTATCAATAGGCAGGCATATCTTAATTTGATAGAGAATTTACAGGTCTAAACTCGAAATATCATAAAAGTCATAAGTGATAACAATAATTATTTGAAATGTTTTTATGTATTAGTGTGTGTACTACCTCTACCTCTTTTGCTATACGAATAAATATTTAGATTAATAGGTCGTATTATTAAAGTGTGCGATTGAAAATATTTTTAACACGATGTAATTATTTTTTAACTAGTAAAGAAAATATTGTTTGGAGACACTGAGTTGTGAAATTTATAATGGTAGAAAATAGAGACATAATATGAAATGACTATAATATAAACCCATTGAGCGATTTACCATTTGTTGTACAAACGTTCGTATACAGATACAAAAACAAGCTATTATATTGTATAATACAAAAAATACGATTAACTTACAAAATGACAAAATGTAAGACACCAATGAATGAATAAAAAAATAAACAACATTAATTATTTTATACTTACAGTAAAACACCTTAACAGTAAGTTGTTAAATAATTGTTAATAGATTTCCGCGTTTTTTTTAAATTTATAAATTATATAAAATGCTTTTACCGAAGAACAAGTGGGTGTTAACAGAAACAGAGATTTACAAAAAAAATGTACTAAACCTAATTTTGAGTAATTTACAGAAAAATATAGGAGAAAATAAATAAATAAATAAATAAATAAATAAAACGAAGTATTATTCATTTTTTTTTGTGTGTACAAAAATATGTCTTTTAAATTTTATTAATTTTTAAGAAAAGAATTCGTACCGTTTTAGCCTTCAAATTTAAATTTGTCCATAAAATAAAATTTTTAACAGAAATACCAGTAAAAATACATGTTGGAATGCAAAACAGGCATACCATAATGATAATAATAATAATAATAATAATAATAATGAAAATTACAGTTATATTGATAAAAAGCAAATAAAATAAATGCAAAAGATAAAATAATACATACTAATTATGCTAAAATAAAAATCTCAGGATATTCTATAGCCCAACAGTGTATTTTAGCAAGGAATGTATTCGTGCATTATATTTTAATCATGGTTTAATCAGGTACTTCGATGAGTTTGTTTCCTCGAACCGACACAATTGCTATAAATCTGGGAACCAGGAGCAAAATTAATATTAAACATTTTTTTTACACAACATGAGAAACACGGCTTAACTACGGAATACATTACTAAATTTACGAATTCACCTATTTGGATTGACAAATTTATAAGTTTCATAGATTGGTGAATAAGTAAAAATACCTATTGCGTTGTTAGATGTTGTAAATCCTTACTACTTGACAAATACCAAACAGACTTGTTTTACTCTACGATGGCATACTCTACATTCAAGATGATCCACTTTAAAGATACAAATCGTGTAGCACCAATAATTATTACAAATATAGTTATGTCCCTGTTTTGATTTTGGCGACTTCATTGCCGACGGTATAAATACTCTGTAATCCAATACTAATAATAAGATAGGTATCGTAAGATGGAGTGACTCATACATTGGTAGTGTAACTAAAAATGGTAACAGTGGTTTCTTCCGTGCTTACCTTTAGGTTTTAAGCACCCTAGCGTATGAAGAATAAATAAAAGGGAATAAATAAAGACATATTTCTATGATTGAGTTTACATGTGACCAGTGTCGCCGGTTTGGAATCCCATGTGATGCATATGTTGTTGCGACGATCCTTGTTGTTGCTGATGCTGTTGCTGTTGCTGTTGCTGTTGCTGTTGCTGCTGCTGTTGTTGTTGAGCTAGCAACGCTGCCATTTTGGTTTCTTTTTTCGTCCGTTGCTTCAAATGAACTTTTGCATGTCTCTTTTTTTCGTCGCTTCTCGCGAATTTACGACCGCACACGTCACATGTGAACGGTTTCTCACCAGTGTGTGTTCGAATATGAGTCGTAAGATGGTCAGATCTGGAGAACGATCGCATGCATATACGACATTGGAACGGTTTTTGACCCGTGTGTATGCGAATGTGCCTTGTAAGTTCATCCGATCTAGAAAACCGACGGTCACAATGCTCCACTGGACATGCATATGGTCGCTCATGCACTGGCGTCTTGCTAGGTCTGTTTGGGTATTTCCGGGGTTTCACTGGCACTAGCTTCAGCGGTAGCGAAGACTGCTGATATACTTGCGATAGTATTTCGTGACCTTTGCTTGTCGATGGGTTATATTCAGCTAGCTGGACGCTGTAGCCACCTTGCGACACGCTCGACGAACCTGGTGACTGGACGTCCACGTTTACTACGTTGAACTCTTGCTTGGGAATCATTTGTTGTTGTTGTTGTTGTTGAGACTGTAACTGCTGTTGCTGCTGCTGCTGTTGTTGTTGTTGTTGATGCTGTCCCCCGTATTCGACCGGCGAATCCAACCAATGGTATTTGTTCACTGGTGATGACTGTTGTTGCATCATTTGACCACGGTTGTGGTATATGAGATCTTGATCGTTTCCAGTCACTCCGCAACCGGCATATGTGGGTGGTGCTTGTTTACCACAGTCAATACTCATTCCAAGCAATTCTACTTGACTTTGTTGAGATCTGTCTTCGTAGTGAGGACTGGAGCTGTGGTATGAGGTGGGCGTGCTCGACGGTTGAGGTTGGAGCAGGTTGAACAAAGGTGGAAATATATTCTTGTCTGGGCTTGGCAAAAGCCAAGATGTGCTGAGGTGGTTGTTATTATTGTTATTTGAGGAACTAGTTGAGCACGGAGCTGTTTGCATAGGACTATTTGTTGAGAACCTATAACTAATCCTGGACTGCCCTGATGGTATGCTAGAGTTAGTTGTGTACATGACGTCTTGGCCAGCATCGTCCTGTTCCGGTTCACCTCCGATTGCTTCTGTTTTCAATTGAAGCGATACCTCTAGCTTGTGTTCTATAGCATTTCTATTGCTAACATTTTCATCAGTGTCTTGCAATGATCCTAAAAAAAAATAAAAAAAATTTATAAAAATTATCATATTTTTTACATTATGAATATTACATGTTAAGTTTCTTAATAATTTATCGTGTTTTCACACTTTGCAAAGGATCATAATGGTGTTAAACTAAATAGTTTAAAAAAAACTTGTGACACGTGTCGGCTGGTGATTATTTTTTGTATAAAATTTGGATTTCTGCCACCATTCCACATTATACATTTACACGTTTAATAATAACTACGTGCTAGTTATATATGACTACGGCACGAAATACGAACACCAAAATTTTACTGATTGTTGCGATTCATTACCAGGTCCTACCTTTATTCATTTCAGATAAACATGTTTAACAGTATAAATTTTATATTTTGATATCATTATTTATTTTTTAATGTCATGTATATCATACTCAATAATTTTTCAACGATAAATCGAAATGCGCAATACTAAAGTTGTCAAAAAATACATACTATAATATTATACGATATTGAATTATTTTATATTTGTTATTTTACTATAAAATATTGTGTGGCGCAAAGAGGAAACTGTATAAAGCAGAGAGAAATGATAATAATTGTATGCGATAAAGGATTTTAACCGGTATTAAAATTTACCGATAATCTATTTATTTTTTTACGATATCGAATTTTTGATAAATATTCTCAGTGATGAATAATATTTTTGAACGTTAAAATTTGTATATGTCGTGTATACGGCTGTTTGTGGTTTTTTTAAACATGTATCACATATTTTTCGGATTATCTCGATGGCGACGACAACTGGTTTATGCTGATGGCGAATTTGTTACTTTTTTCTACATACTTTATTATCCCGTCGTCTTTTTAACCCATTCTAAACTATGTAACCATTGTAACGTACGTACATTATGATGTTGAGCACGTATACATAACTGAAGACCTTATTAGATGCATTCGTTAATCCGTGAAAACTCCGTAGGTACTCAGTATAATGTTATAAAAAGATAGAAATAGTAATAAAAAATCTTTTTCTGAGCCAAATATTTCAATTTTTTTTTTTGCATCCAGGGCTACGCAAACACTTGAAATGTTGTAGAGTTATTACTATTATTAATTTTTTTTCTAAAGCAATTGAATTGAAACTGCCGCGGTTTTATATAAAATCTAGATGTTAATAACGCGAACAACAAATAACGATTGTAATAATTGTATAATATTTATTTTATATAAGTTAAAACAACACAGATTGAAAATAGTGGGTCTAAACAATTACGACTTCTGATCAATGTTTATATTAAGTAGTTTTTTTAGTATTCCATTATTATTATTTATACATTCTTCTGAGATTCAATAAAAAAAAAAAAAAAAATAATAAAAAATAAAACAACTGACCCAGTGGTTTGTAGACTATTGGGGATCATTATCAAGACACCACATGCTGAGTGTTTAGTTTTTTTTTTTTTTTTTTATAAATATACGTATATAAACAACACTGCCACAAACTAGAATACATTATTTTTTTGAAAAATATTAACGTGCGTATATAATGCAGTATTATAAATCGTCCGTTAGAACCATGGGACGCCGAGAGAAAGCAAATGCCGCGACATTTTTTCTAGTTGGTCTTGAAGTTTTTGGTAAAAAAAGTAAAAACATTAGGCACATTAGACGTTAGATATTATCGCCGTTAACGATTAGCGTCGTTAATTTATCCAACATGTAATAATTCACATAGGTTTTTTTAATATCTGTACAAATGTTTAAAATATTATAAAAATAATATTTAAGGGCTTAATTATTTTTATTGTTACAAATGTATGATGAAAAAATGTATACGAATCGTTAAATAAATATTGCTGTTAATGTAGCAGCGGTATATGACTAGTAAATAGTAAAACGCGCACATATTAAAACATATAGGTACCTACTTGTAACAAATGTAATTAAATGTATGTAAATTATATTAATACAACCGTTATTTATTTTTAGGTTTATATTTCTATAATTTACTACAGGTTTTAAAAACAACAATACGTAAATATGTGAATATTATAGTATTGGTTGACTGCCAAGTATTAGACAAGGTATGTTAATATAATAGGTACCTATATATTTTTTTCGTTTTAAAATTAACGCCATTATCTCGGCAGACATTACTAATTTGTTTGAACTAATACTTTTATATAATTTCCAAATGTTTATTCAAAGATTTAAATAAACTAATCTTAATCATAAAAAATAAATAATGTTAAAAAGCAAAAGTTTTTAGACATGCCATAAAAACGGCCACTTGGCAATGAATATATACCGTTTTATTTAAGCACATAGTAATTAATACTTGTATTGGAACACGTGGATTCTACATGGAATTCGTTTACGCAATAATTGAAAAATATTAATTTATTGCATAAGTTTAAGAATGCTATTGGTCGTAATCGAACGGTCGGTGCATATATAATTATCGGCTGGGCGCGTTATGTATTATAAATATTATAATTCAGATTATCATAACCGTAACGTAAATCGATGGACACACTTTCCGCGTAAATATAAGTATCAAATACAACGCTTATAACTGTCATTTATACTATGTTATTATTTATAATATATAATTTAATATATGTATATATATATATTTAAGTATGTATTATAGAAGGATAGTTAAGAACACTGTTGTGATTGGTGTGATATAAAAACTTATTACAACGGTTTTGTCTAGATATTATAATGGCTTTACGATCGATTATATTACGATAAAATATGTACTTTTATTTTTTGCTGAATTGCAAGCGGTTGTAATAAAAAGTGAAATCATTTCTCGTAAGTTATATATAAAGAACTCGTCAGTCAGCTATACAGGGGTCGGTTATGTACGGGTTGTGCGGGAACGTGGTAGATGGGCAAGGAGGAGGGTTATGTCCGGATAGGAAGAATATTGATTTCGACTCCATCGCATAACCTTCTAGGAAAAGCAATATAAAGTATGTAAATTACGTTGTATCGTAATAGAGTAAAATATTTTTCTGTTAAATTACATTAAATACACACACACATATATTTTATATATTATATATATAAGGCAACACGCCATGGATACCATGCGATATCTAATAAATATCAATAAAATAGCAATTTTTCGTAGTATTTTATTCAAGTAGTTGTAAATAATTTGTATACATATATATTTAGGTTCACCATCCGTCTCTTATCGATTTTTTTCTTCAGATTCCGCCTGACATTAATCTAACCGTTAACTCACGATGCTACATATTTAACAATCTGTCCCATTCATGCGGAGAGTAGAAACCACTACTAATACAATTTCATAATAAAAAATTTAAGTTCCTTTCATTCGGGCCGGCTGGTATTGATCCACCGGCGGTGGCGGTTCGTACGCAATGCCACGGCCACCACCCTCTAGATCGCGCTTGAAACGCACGCATATACCACACATTCCTAGTAAGTCCATTCAACTTGGCGCAACCTCTGTCCTACACAACCCCTAACAACCTTTCTCTGTCACTACCACCATAGAAAATTCAATCCTGCGCGAACGTTCCCCGGAGCGCGCCAGATCATTGAGCGTTTGTAATAACATCTTGCCGATACAGTTTTCGTGTATATTTTTGTATAATATTATCAATAAATTTTATTTCCATAATTTAATGCTTATATATTAACGCTTTATGTTTATTCTATAGGTAGACAAGTTAAAATAAAATTACGAGCCTAACCTGTAAGTATAAGCTGCGCAAGAGAGTGGCGGTTAAAATATATAGTCTTGCCGAATCGTGGAATGTATTTATATAGCGTATCTACGTATATTAGGTTGTGGGGTAGAAACGAGAGGGAAATATATTTCATTCACCTTTCTGGCGTGCCGAGGTCACTGCAAAATCGATGAACGACTACTAGCGCGGGAGGGTCACCGACACCGCCCGCGTTGTTCGGGGGGTTATGGAAATTGTATTCACATAATATTTCATTCATGTGAACAATATGAAATGAGGTATATCTATAACAATGTTATAGTGCCTTAAAAATTAAATATAATTTATAACCAAGGCGGAATTATACCTAATTAACATTTTATCTCAATAATTTTAAAATTTCACCTAATATTCGTATTTCATAAAATTTATAATACGAATGTTTAAAGTTATTTATTTATTACTTAAATTTCGTTTATTCGCAGGAAAAATTTTTTGGGAGTACTTATGGGCTGTAGCCCATATACGCAAAAAATGACCCAAACGCAACCCAAAAGCGTAAAAATAAATATTCCATAAGCGCAAAAAAAAAAAATATCTTTTTAACAAATCATAAGCGCAAACAAATTTTACAAAAATTAAGTGCATTCTATTAAAATCATATAATTATTAATAGTTATCTGATAATATACGATTTTAAATTTTTCACTCGAATTTCTAATAATATATTATGTTTCAATTAAAAATAAATCTAAAATCATGAAATAATCTATATAGTTATAACGTATATCAATTTTCAAGTCAAATATATTTGTTATAATTTTAAAGTTTATACTGTATAATATATTGTATAGTAATCTTAAATTATTATAAATCTTCACTGTAATTCATTACGATAATACTAAACTTCAACTAAACTAGATCACTGTTGATGTATTTTTGAATTATAAAAATATTATATATTTAATTAAAATGAATAATTTACTTTAATAATTAATATTTTTAAAATGAAACTTATAGTGTAACGGCCAACAGGTACAATATTTATTTTTGCGCTTTTATCCCACTATTAAGGTATAAAAGCTCAAAACGAATTTGCAATCTTGGTCTATAAGAAATAGACGATTTGTGCTTTTGGGTTTCACTGTACTTAAGCATTATATAAATAATATTACTTTTAAATTATTTTGTATAGTTATCATTTTATCGTTAAACCTACCGATGGATTATTACCTATAAATATATATATATATATGGATTCAAATGATAAAATTTGAAATAGTTTTGTTTTCTTTTGCAAGGTATTTTCTCTTCAAAATAATTATATTATTATTACTGGCGTTTAAACTAATTTTGGAAAAAAATAAATGAACTACTATAGAGTTTGTTATTTTTAAACATTTCAAAACCGTAATAAAATATAAAAACGAGTGCCTTATCACATCTATACAATAGTCAAGCAAATATGATATAATATATTTAAGAGAGTAATGCTGGTTAGGTACCTGTTATGAGTGGCGGTTCTACGACTGTGGATGGGCCGAAAAACGAAGGTACTTCGGCGCTCGTTGTGACGGGCGTGTTGAGATCGGTGCCGGCGTTTCCCTGTGCCGGGCTGTGGCACGCCGAGTTGCCGGTGCCGTGTCCGCCGTTGCCCACGTGTCCACCCGTGCCGGTGGCCACGCCGCCTTTGTACGTTTCGAAGCTGAGCACGTTGAAGTGCCCAGCGGCCGTGGTGGCCGTGGTGACGGCGGCCGCGGACTCGGCCAACAAGTACGGGTGGTGATGATGATGGTGGTGATGGTGGTGATGCGCATGATGGAGCGGCCCGACGCCGGGCTCGAGGGCACCGCACTCCATGATCATATCGGCTTCGGGCTGTTGTTGGTGCTGCTGGTGCTGGTGTTGGTGCTGCTCCGGGACACCTACGGCACAAGCGTCACGCCGATCGCAATTATTATTAACAGCGCCGGTACTGTTGTTGTTGTTGTTGTTGTTGTTGGTTGTGGTGATGTGGTTGTCGTTCGGGTTACGATCGGCAACGGGAGCGCGGTCTTTTGGATCAATTATTGGGCACGGTGGTGGCGATTCCGGCGACTCGACCAGCTCGATATCGTGGAACGGGTACCAATCGTCCGGCGGCGGCGACCACGAGCTGGGGGCCAGGGGCACGCGGATCACGCACCTGGACAGTGCCAGGCCTGGGCTGGGGGGTTGGCGCGTGCGGTGACAAAGACGGGTGACGATCGGACGAAGTTTTTGTTTTTGTTTTTTACTTAACGTTCGCCCAGACGATGACCGACGTTATGATGGTGCGCGCATCAATGCGTTAGGTAACGTATGTACACTTACGTATCGTGTGTCGTCGTCGTATCGTGATAAAATATTATGTTTATATAATGTACAGACTGTGTCACGAAATAGCAGCAGGCGCGTTCCGGCGACAATTTAAAAAACCGAAATTCGTTGTTTCGTTACCACAAGACGCGTACGGGTTAGGTGTATAGGCGCGTCGACAATACGATTTTATTATAATTTATTATTATAACGGGGGGGCGCGCACTCGACGGCGTTAGGTAAATTGGACGCGCGTATCTCTCGTTACTGCGATGGTACTGCGGCAACGCACATGACTCTCTCGGGGCCGCTGCACTTGCACACATACACAAACAAACGTAAAACGCACACGCACACGGTCACGCACACGCACGTGATGCTGGCGCCGGTCGACTTGTTGAACTGAAGGCGCGCGCGACGCGTGTGTCGGGATACGCGGCGGCCGTACACACTGAGACAGCGGTTCTCAAACTTTTTGTTCGCGAGCCTATATATTCCTAAAAATTACGGAGCCCCAAAGATCGAAATGTCATATATGAGGCAACAAAATGCATAAATAAATTAGTAATACAATTAACAATTGTAAATGATTTGCTTTTATTTTATTTTCTATAAAATACGAAATATACGATCCATTTGTATTTTATTCACAAAAATTGTTAACAATAAAACAATTGATGAGGTAAAAGAAACACGTAATAGAAATAAACACCGAAATAACAATATTTGCGTTAGCGGCCGATGAATAGAGTAATGAATGAGAATCAGAATTATTGAACTTGTGAATGTAGATTGTACTTGTAGATAAGTAACAAATCATTATCTACAACATGTCAAATGAATGAAAACCCGACTTTTATCTAATCTCATTTTGACAATGACACAAAATATGATTCATATGTGGGATTTATAAATATTTTAAAGTTTTAAACGTTTAAATAATCATATTGGTTTAGGCCTCAAATATTGTATTATAAAAATAAAATTTATCAAAAATATAATATAATTTAATAATTTAAATTTAATTATATACAAAATTTCGGAGGAGCCACGGAGCCTTAGATTACTCTCGCGGAGCCCTAGGCTCAAGTGGAGCATGAGTTTGAGAACCGCTACAATATAATATGGGTAGATATATTGAGTGACATTTGTGCGAAACACTCAAATTCATAAAACACAATATCATTAGGAATAATTATATGAAGTATAGTGAATAAATTGCTATGTATAAATGAGATAGTTAATGTAGACGAAAAGTTTAAATGCGAATCTTAAAACACTAAACAAAAATATAACTACGATATATTATTTTATTTTTATTTCTTCACGCAGCTAACACGACTTAGTCACGTACTTAAATAACCGATCCGGGCTGTTAGCCAGCTTAATTTTAGAAACCATATTCCGTGGGTCGTCCGAATTCCACAATATACACGATCGCGCGTATGTTATAATATGTATTATATACAAACACAGTGCACGCACAAACACAGATATATGTACAATGCGTAGCGTAAAACTTCGGGGGCGAGAAAACACACGATCACAATAATAATATTATGTAGGTCGCATTATACCACACATATGTGTGGTCGTGTTGTATTGGTGGAGTGACCGATATATCGGTATTGTACTGACCTACAAATATATCCGTTATTCGAGCGCGTTCCGATCTCACCTATCAGTGTTTATTAATATGACTATTTCGATATAATAGCATATTATAGATATGTGTACAAACGATAATAACAGTATATAACATAATATACGAATGTGCAGTCAGGATGTGTACTGCAGGATATTCCACGGACAACGGTTATGATGCGTCGGAGAAGGTAATAATATGAACGTACGACGAAATAATATTAATTATTACTAATGTAGTATTGTAGGACATATTATGAACTATAATAATAGTATTAGCTATATTTATTACACCTGTATGGAATATAGGGTATTACGTTTATGAAATGCTTTACAAACACTGTATGCGTATGAAGAATTATGTCGCTTCATTAATATTGTCTGACATAATGGTTAAATGTTAACAATATTTACTTCTCGGTTTTGCCATGTATAAATAATTTATAAATACGCCTTTTGGATTATACTACTCAGTACACTATTATAATGTTGTACCTATACACTTCCTTACTGTCTAATAGTTTGAGACTTATTATTAAAACAAACAAACGTACTGAATATAACATTACATTACAGTTTACCTTTTATACTATATTACTACACCGTTTTCTGGGTAAGAAAATGTACCTATCATAAAACACATACAGGTATATATATTATTATTTTTAATAAGTTAAAACGATTCTATCATATACAATACGATAATATTATGATTCATGGTAAGGAGCAATACGTAACTGAACGAAGTACATACCGT